TTTAATTGATAATTCTGTGAATTCTGTTTGAATTTTCTTTTTAAGTTATTTTTTCCATTCTCAAAATGAGATCACACTTGTATTTTCAAAATAAGGTAGTCTTGCCACTAGGTGCATATAATTATGAAAAGTGAATTGTGAGTTCATTGATTTATATGTTCACTTACAAATACCTAGTGAGACTTAAGCTGCATACTTCTCTTTCATGTGTGATTAATCATATTTTGCTGCACCATCTAGAACTTGCCTTGTTTCTTGATTTAATATGCAATTTACAATTTTCACATATATGATAGAGGCCATGTTTGATTATGCCTAGTCAGCCTAAATGCCTTTCTTTGCAATTGAATGTCTTAGCTCACTCCTTTGAGCTTGATATCCTTTTTCTTGAAATTACCTCATTATAAGTTTTGCTGAAAAACCAATTTTACCATTCAAATGAAAAGAGGCATAGTGAGTTTAATCAAGAATGAGTTTTAAAACTAAGTTTGGGGTGGCATCCACAATTTAATTGCTTGAGGACGAGCAATGTTCTAAGTTTGAGGTGGGGAATAGCAAGCTATCTAGGTTTTGCGTTCAAAAAGACAGAAGAAATTGCAAAAAGTTGTAGAAAACTGAAAAATATGCAACAAAGTTGTGAAAAGAGCAAACATGTGAGTTCAAAAGAAAGAATTGCAACAAAATGTTGCAAAAAAAAATGTTGTAGAAAAAGTGCTGCAGAAAAAGGAATGAAAAGAAAAATAGTGTATGAAAGCTTCAAGGTAGAAAGAAGAAAAATTTAGAATGTTGCTGCACGAGTGAAATTATATGCTGCATTATTGAGGGAGTTAGTGAGAAATGATGCAGACCCATGCTAGTTTTAAAAGTCATTCACTCAAAATGTCTCTGATCTTTTGAAAATGCATGGATTGTTTTCCATTTTGTTTAATACCTACCTTGACCTTAGCCCTGTTATAACCTACAAAAAGTCCTTTGGATATGTCATTGACTGTATTAAGCAGAGAAAATTGAGAATATGGGCAAGCATATGGTAGAGTGTAGTTAAATTGATGATTTAGAGAGAAAACACTACCTAAACATTGTTGAGTGATGAGGGAAACACTTCTAAGTGACCTGTGATCATGTTTATTCATTGTACTCACATGAATTTTAATGAAATATATGAACTTAGATAGTAATTCTTACTCAATGATGATTATGCAGTGTAACTATTATGCTGAGTATTTGGATGAACAATTTGATTGAAAATTTTGCAGAAAACACAGAATTAGAATTTGAAATTTCTGAGATAAGCAGTTTGCAAATTGATTTTTAAAGAATGGAGGAATTTCCTTTGGTTTAGTTTGATTTGCTTGAGAACAAGCAAAAATTCAAGTTTGCGATAGTGATGAATCCATATTTTTACTAATATTTTAGCATAGTTCTAACTCATTTGATAAGGAAAATATATGAGAAAAGCAGAAAAACTCAGAAAAATAGAATGATTGAAAGTTTTATGTCAATTTGTAGTTATTTTATCATTGGTGAGATTTTTGCTTAGAAATTAAGAATTTAATCTTGTTTTGTAGGAATAATCTAAGCAAGGTTAATGGAAATGGAAGATCAATGGAAAGGAAGAAGAAGAGTAGCAATTATGGACTCAAAACACAAGAATTCTGGAATGCAAGCTGGGCGTGATCACTATTGTTAGTGAAAGTGATCGTTCCAGAGCTTAAAAGAAGAAGGCAGTCTGGGCGTGGTCTGATGAACGAAATATTTTCTCATTTGCAAAAAGATTTGTCGTTAACCTTCATCAAAATTTGCAGAAAAATTTATGTAATCTAGGGTGCAAACCTAGGTTGTCTCCAAGGACTTTAGTTTGTAACATACATTGAACATGTTGCGAACATTTACTATGAAAGCAATTAAAACAAGGGGGGCTTTTATGTGATTCCAATTTTAATGTAAAGGCAAGTGATGAAATTAATTAATCCAATCAATGAAATATGCAATTCTATCCTTATCCCTCTCAAGATTCAATACTTTTCCTCTTCCTCTGAATTAGGGTAACTCAAAAAGCATGAATTAACCTTAAATTCCCATACGAATTAAGCAATTTATATGGGCTCCAAACTCTCATCCCCATGATAACGCTACCTTAGAAATTAACTTAGGATTAAGCAAACTAAGTTACGAATTTCATTAAAATGAATTAGGGTTAATTAAGTAATGTCTCCCTCATTAAACATTAATTCAATTCAAAGAGTTTGGGAAATGTAAATTCATGAGGAAAGGAAATTATATTGACATTCATACCTAGGAATTCAAGAATACATGAACTCACTAAGGATTACAAGAAAGTTTAGCCCTCCATGAAGATGGGTCTTACAAAATTAAGATGAAAGATAAAGGAATTCAATGACATCAATGCAGAAATTAAAGGAAATTGAGAAGAAAATTGTAAATCAAGCCCTAAGATTGCCCTTGGCTGTCACCCAAGGATCCCAAGCTCTGCAAAATGCTCCCAAAAATGGCAAAGAATCTAAAATTATGAAAGATCCGTACGCTAATTTCTAAGAGTCTATATATACTAAGTCTGACATGGCCCCATAGTGATCACTCTATAAACAAGAGTGTTTACGCGCAGCAACTTTAGCTTTTTCCCTTTCTAAAATGATTACTCTCACTTCTGAGAGTAAACACGCGCAGGCATTTTGAGTCTGGACATCTCTGGAGTGATTACTCTCATTTCTGAGAGTAAACACGCGCAGGGCACTTCCTTCTGGGTGTCTTTGGAGTGATTACTCTCATTTATAAGAGTGTTTACGCGCAGGGACTTGGGGTCTGGGGCATCTGGAGTGATCACTCTGATATCTGAAAGTGGTTACTCTGGCCTATCCCTTGAAACCAGCTCCCTGCAGTGATTACTCTGGTGTCAGGCTAGAGATTTATTATTGAGTAATCTATAATATTTTATACTTGTTCAATGTTAATTGAAGGATTATTTGGTATTGGAATAGATTTAGATGGAGTTTGAAATTATTTATTTAAAAAAAAAAAAAAAGTGAACAGTACCGTATGAACAGTGTCATATGAACAGTAAAACCGCCTATGAACAGTGCAAACCGCGTATGAACAGTGAAAACCGTGTATGTACAGTGACTGCTGACTTCATCAGTGACATCATCATGACGTCATGGCTGACGTCACATACGCATACAGTGCATGTACAGTATGCGTGCACAGTATTTTCTGGCATGAATAGTGCCCTGAACAGTGTTTCCAGCGTGAACAGTAAGGCGGTGAACAGTAATTCCTGCGGTGAACAGTAAATTTCAAAAATTTTCTATAAAAAGGGGGCTTCACACGAAATTTTCATTTCTTCACCCCTATCCAAGGTTCTCAAAGGTTCTAAGGCCAAAAAACTACCATTTCTCTCATACTAAACCTTCCTAAACTTAGATTTCTCGCCAGATCTGAGATCCTACGTCTATTCTGAAGGATTTGAAGTAAGTTTCTTTAAGTTTGAAGCTAGATTTACCGTTTGTTTCTCTTCTTCTTCTCTTTCTCATAGAAGTTCATGGTATTCTTAGGAGAAACTCCGTTCTAAAGCCAAATCTTCGGTGAATCTTGCTATAAAACAAGTAATATTCGGTAGATCTAGTGTGAATCGTCGTTCTGAGGTAAGGGGAGTTTACTATAACCTGTGAACTACGTTTTGAAAGGTTTAATATGCTATTTCAAGATATTTTGATATGATTTTGTTAGATCTATTGAATAAAAGCTATTTTCTAAGCTGTAACTGCTGTTAATTGATTTAAAATGCTGAGATTTTGGCTGATCTATCTTAAACTTGCCTTAGCTGAGCTGTTAAAATAATTTTGGCAGTGTGCATCATGCTGAGATATATGTTTTGCATCATTATAGAGCCGAGTTACATGTTTAGGTGGGTAGACGTGTAACGGTAAGTTCATGCTGTGCTGTGCTGTCTAGATCCTGATACCGGAATGGGTCGCTCCCGGACCGGCTCGGTTCTTTCTGGATTACTTAGGCTGTGAAACCAGTTGGAAACCGTTTTCATGCTGTGCATTAGATGGGCTGGAAATGCATGGGGCTATTGCTGTGAGAAATATTTTACTCTATATATATGATTTTATTTTATTTTTGTAAGCTCACTCTTGCATTTCTTTCTACGTCGTTGTGTGCGTGTGTACTGCAATGATCGTACGGTGGTACGTGAGCAGATGTAGCAGGTGTTGCATCTACTTCACAGGCTGCGGGGCCAGTGGAGAAATGATAGAAGCTGAAGTCGAGTAATATTGCATCTAAGTCCTTTTTCCTTATATTTTAAGACCTCATATAGAGGGAGCTACGTAGTATAATTTTGGGTATTTTTGAATATTATGAACCAAATGTAATATTATGGTGTTCTGTTGGATATTTGCTGTAAGAAACTCTGTTTTATTTTGAATGAGAAGAGAATTTCATAATTATATTTTCTATACTTTATTTCAAATAAGTTTGTGATGTAGAAACAATGTTCTCGGTTCCTTATAAAAGGGGTCGTGACATTTTAGTGGTATCAGAGCATGGTTTAGGTAAACCTACGGGGTGAGGTTGTTAGACGTCAGTTGTGCATATTAGACATGTCAATTTTAGCTGTGAATCATATATCATAATTTCTAATCATCAGGTTGTGAGAGAACGAGCTTGATCACCTCAGTTCTCAGACACGACAGATGTAGGAAATCTTGGTATATGATACTGGGGTGAGCTATAGGCGATTCATGCTGCATGAATAAAAAGTTGTTAAGCTAAGCTATAAATGATTGTTGAGATAAGTGTGTTTGCTATGCTGTGTGAATGCTGATATAATGTTATCCTCAGTGCTAAACTGATTAAATTGTTGTGATATACTAAATATGAATATATCACTATAAGCTGAATCTGTGAATATAGCTATGTGGTGGTATTGCTGAATGTGTTAAACGCTAGTAATCTAAGCTAGTCTATATATTAGGATGGCTAGACCAAGAAGATCTGCTACAAACCCTCCTCTTCCTGCTGATATGAACCAAATGGCTCACGCCATGGAGGCCATGGCAGCCACTGTTAGGCAGAGTCTAGATATGATTCAGCAGCAGCAAGCTGCAAACCAAGCCGCTGCTGCAGCACAGGCAGCAGCAGCTACTGCCTCAACTGCACCTCCTCCTGAATACCATGGTTTGTCAGAGTTCAGGAAGAATGATCCTCCTCAATTCACGGGGGTGGATGGACCAGATGCTGTTGAACTCTGGATCAGGGAGATTGAGAAGATCTTCCTAACTATGGGTTGCGCCGAGGAGAGGAAGGTGTTATATGCTACTTATATGCTGACAGGGGATGCAGAGATGTGGTGGCACGGAGCTCGTGCTATGCTGGAGGCCCGAGGTGAAGTCATCACTTGGGCTGTATTTAGAAGTAGTTTTCTGGGAAAGTTTTTCCCTTCTCATGTTCGTGCTGCCAAAGAGCGGGAATTTCTAAACTTGATGCAAGGAAACTCATCAGTCTATGAGTATGCAATACAGTTTGAGCGTCTTTACAGATTTTATTCTCACCCGACCTCGGAGGAGTGGAGATGTCAGAGGTTTTCAGACGGATTGAGAACTGACATAAAGAGGATTTTAATCCCACTTAGGATCACGGAATTTGCTGACTTGGTGGATCAAGCCACCATTATAGAAAGTCTTAATGCAGAGGATGTTGGTGGAGTTGGGAAGGCTCCATCTAGTAGAGCTGCTAGTAGCTATGGTAATGGAAGTAAGGGTGCTAAGAAGGGCCCCTACAATCGGTCGCTACGCCAACAGCAATCTCGACCATCTCAGTCGAGAGGATCAGCAGGCATCAGCCCCGGTGCCAATAGGGACTGCTACTTCTGGATTTCAGCCTAGGGGAGCAACTTCTTCCACCCCTAGAGCCTCAGTGCCGCAGATTGTCAAATGTTTCAGATGTGGTGGGCCACACTACCTGAGCCAGTGCCCACAGACTGATGTCAGAGTTTGCTTCTTATGCCAGCAGCCAGGGCATCTTGCTAGGGACTGTCCTACGCCTAGTGGGGCAGTTTCATCTTCTGCTAGCGCCTTACATGCTGTGAGACCTAAAGCGACTAGAACTCCGACGAGAATTAGATCGAGAGCAGAGGGACGTGTATTCACTACTTCTGCATCAGAGGCAGCCCAGGCGACAGATCTCGTTCAGGGGACAACGGTAGTGGCAGGTACTTCTCTTTCTGTATTGTTTGATTCTGGAGCCACGCACTCTTTTATTGCGGACATTTGTGTGAGAAACTTAGGGTTACCATTGAGTGATCTAGGATGTGAATTGGTAGTATCGACACCTACTTTAAGTTCGATTAAGACTTCAACGGTTTGTGTTAGGTGCCCCATAGTAATTGAGGGACGAAAGTACAAAATAAACCTTATTTGTATCCCAATGTCAGGGTTAGATGTAATCCTGGGTATGGATTGGCTAACTGCCAATCGTGTGCTAATTGATTGTGGCCGGAGGTGTTTAATATTTCCTGAGCAACAAGGCTGTGTGGAATTAATTTCTACTAGACAAGTAGAAACATCCTTAGGTGAGGGAGTATCTTGTTTTGTTTTGTTGGGAGTTATGAATGCAGAAGTGGAGCAAAGCCTTCAGTCAATACCAGTAGTACGAGAGTTCCCTGAGATTTTTCCAGAGGATATTCCTGGAATACCTCCACGTAGAGAGGTGGAGTTTTCTATAGATTTGATTCCAGGAGCTGAGCCAGTTTCTGTAGCACCTTACAGAATGGCGCCGAAAGAGTTAATGGAACTTAAGGAGCAGATCGAGGATCTAATGCGGAAACAGATGATTAGGCCGAGTGTATCACCTTGGGGAGCACCAGTTCTCTTAGTGAAAAAGAAGGACGGCAGTTCTAGATTATGTGTTGATTATCACAAGTTAAATAAGTTGACAATTAAGAATAAGTACCCGTTGCCACGAATCGATGATTTGATGGATCAGCTGAGAGGTGCTAAGGTATTCTCTAAGATTGATTTGAAGTCTGGGTACCATCAGATCCGAGTGAAGGATGAAGATATTTCTAAGACTGCTTTCCGCACTAGATATGGCCACTATGAGTATATAGTGATGCCTTTTGGAGTCACAAATGCTCCAGCTGTGTTTATGGACTACATGAATCGAATCTTTAGACCTTTCCTGGATCGATTTGTGGTAGTCTTTATTGATGATATTTTGATTTATTCTAGTTCGTCAGAGGAACATGCAGAGCATTTGAGGACTGTACTTAGTATTTTAAGGGAAAAACAGTTGTATGCTAAATTATCTAAGTGTGAGTTTTGGCTAGAGGAAGTAAAGTTCCTCGGTCATGTTATTTCAGCTAAAGGAATTGCAGTTGATCCTTCCAAAGTTGAAGCGGTGTTGCAGTGGGAAAGGCCTAAGACAGCCACAGAGATTCGTAGTTTTGTGGGCCTAGCAGGCTACTACCGGAGATTTATAGAGGGATTTGCGAAGATAGCTGCACCATTAACACGGTTAACTCGCCGTGATCAACCCTTTGTATGGACTAAAGAATGTGAACAAAGCTTTAATGAGTTGAAGCAGAGATTAACTTCCTCGCCGGTGTTGATTCTCCCTAATACTAGTCGATCGTTTGAGGTGTACTGTGATGCTTCCCATCAAGGATTGGGATGTGTGTTAATGCAGGATAAGAGAGTAGTAGCTTATGCATCTCGCCAATTGCAAACTCATGAGCGAAATTACCCGATTCACGACCTTGAGTTAGCTGCTATAGTCTTTGCTCTGAAGGTGTGGCGGCACTATCTTTATGGAGCTCAGTTTGATGTATATAGTGATCACAAGAGTCTGAAGTATTTATTTGATCAACGAGAGTTAAATATAAGGTAGAGACGTTGGGTGGAATTCCTTAAGGATTATGATTTTCAGCTTCAATACCATCCAGGAAAAGCTAACGTGGTGGCCGATGCATTAAGTAGGAATGTGGTTCAGGCATTCTCCTTAAGAATTAGTGAAACTCTTTTGGTAGAACAATTCCAAGATCTGAACATACACATAGACTTATCACCTGAAAAGATTAGTTGTAGCCGAATTGTGGTGACTAATAATTTCTTACAGGAAATTAAAGATAAATAACTGTGGGATCCGATGTTATGTCGGATTGTATTTCTCTTAGGGACAGATAAAGCAAAGGGTTTTAGTAAAGGTGCTGATGGTATCCTCAAATGCCAAGGTCGAGTTTGTGTCCCTAGAGATACTGCATTAAAGAGAGCAATTCTAGAAGAAGGACATAAGGGTAGTCTCAACATTCATCCTAGTGTTACCAAGATGTATCAAGATCTAAAGCAGATGTTTTGGTGGCCAGGCATGAATCGAGAGATAGCTGAATTTGTTAAAGCTTGTTTGACTTGCCAGAAGGCAAAGGCAGAGCACCAAAGCCCTCCAGGAGAGTTGCAGACAATGGAAATTCCAGAGTGGAAGTGGGACCATGTGACTATGGACTTTGTGTCCCATCTACCTAGAACAGTTAAAAATCATGATGTCGTGTGGGTCATAGTTGATAGGCTAACCAAGAGTGCGCATTTCTTGCCAATTAACATGACCTTTAGCTTGGAGAAATTAGCAAAATTGTACATTAGAGAGATTGTCAGGTTACACGGAGTACCTTCTAGTATTATCTCTGATAGGGATTGATGAAACGATATTTACTACTCGTCATGCAAAAGATTGTCGTTAATCCTCATCAAATATGCAAAGAAATGAATGCAGTACTAGGGTGTTATCCTAGGTCGTCTCCAAGGAATTTTTGGTTGGGAACATACATCGAACAAGTGTAAACATGTATCTTAAAGCAAGTAAATTGGGGGGAGGTTTGTCAATTTCCAGATTTTAATCAAGAGCAAAGTGTAAATTTAATGAAATTCAATCAATTAAAATGAGTAATCCCTAGTCAAGCAATGAGTTCTATCATTATTCTTTCAAATGATTCAATAATCCCCTTTCTTTCCCTTAAATTAAGTTAATCTAACAAGCGAAGACTAACTTTAACATCCCAATTAAAATTAAGCATCTTAATGGGCTCCAATCTCTATCCCTAAGATTAAGCAACCTCAAGGATTAATCAAAATTAAGCAATTTTGAATTAGAATTTTGTTAGGTAAATTAGGGTTCATTAAGCAATGTTCCCTTCATGCAAATTCCATTTCATTCAGAGATTGGGGTTAATAAATTCAAGGAAAGAAAGATTTGTATTGCAATTAATCCCAAGAATTCAAGATTCATGTGCATTGACTAGGAATTACAAGAAAGTTTAGCCCTCCATATGGATGGGCTTCACAAATGAGAGAAAGAAATGCAAGAACGTAAACATCATTAATGTAAACTTAACAAAAATCAAAGGAGAAATTGGAAATTAAAACCTATAGAGGACCCTTGGCTGTCACCCAAGACTCCAATGTCGTAAGAAAATATCCCAATTTGGCAAAGGAAAAATGTGTAAAGTGTCAAAAGTCCCGTACCCTAATTCCTAAAATCTATTTATAGTGGATGACATGTCACCAAAGTGTCCACTTTTGCCTTTGAAAGTGTCCACTTTGGGCCTTGAAAGTGTCCACGCGCAGAATGCAAGGAATGCCGCTTCTCTGGAGTTGCTACTATTTGTGCTGAAAGTAGCTACTTTGGATGGGCGTAGCTACTATGAGAGCCCATAGTAACCACGCGCAGGAGGGCTTCAAAATCAGCGTCCAGGAGCTTCTGAAGTTGCCACTTTTGGTCTTCAAAGTAACTACTTTGGATGCGCGTAGCTACTATGAGAGCCCATAGTAACCACGCGCATCATGCTTCAAGATTGGCGTTCCTGGAGCTTCTGGAGTTGCCACTTTTGGGCTTGAAAGTGGCTACTTTGGAACCTTTAATGCCTATGCTTGCTGTAGTTGCCACTTTTACTCCTCAAAGTAGCTACTTTGGGGGCAACTTTCATCTAAGGACCAAGATTTCTCAAATTTGACTTGGGCATTCTGCAAAATCATCAAGATAATTAAAATTGCAATCTATATCTATGTAATTAAATGCAAATTAACCAAAAATTAATAAACCTATGATATTTATTCAAAATGTGATTTCTATATTATTTTCACTATCTAAGTCCATTTTTTCTATCAAGAAGCATAAAAATGGCAAGTAAAAATATTATAAAAATTGGATTCATCACAACCCCAAACTTAAACTTTTGCTTGTCCTCAAGCAAATCAAAATTCAAACAATTCAAATGAAGAGGGTTGAATTTGTCCAAAGAAAATTTTAGAAATTTTCATTTCAACTTCATACTTTAATTAGCAATTCCAACATCTTCACAACCATAGACTCATTCAACAGAGGAATCATATTCATGTCAAATATTCCATGCAAAGTCCCACTAAATTGAAACAAAAGAATCAAGCAAGGTTTCATGTGACTCTCATAATGCAAAGAAACTATCCATCTCACAAGGTGGTGTTTCACTCATCACTCAACAACATTTCAGGCTAAGTGTTTTCCCTCAATCCATGCATTTAGCCTCACCCTACCATAGGCTTGCCCATATTCTCGATCTCCTTTGCCTAGATACAACGAACCACCTATCATGAGGGCTTTGTTGGTCACAAATGGGGTTAGGATAGGCTCAAATTTTTAACCAAGGAGGGTGACAAGATCAAGTGGGTACTCAAGAGGAGGGAGTTCTTTTGAGTGATTTAGTGCAACAACTAGAGTGGAATGCCTTAAATGATGTAGCTTAAGAGGTTAAAGCATTCTTTCACCACATTAATTTTTTATTTTTTTTTTATTTGCCTTATGTGGAGATCCTTTTTCAACTCAAATGCCTTGCTATATTTTTCTTTCTTTCTTTTCT